TGTATTTTGACTTCGGGAAATTGTGTGGTACTAAAATTGTTGGTGGATGGGGGTAGATGTGCAAAATTTGCTCGATAGATGGACTATACATATATATAGGACTTTGCTATCTGCTTGATCTGGACATACTCACTCCTAGAATGTATGATCTCTTTGCTAGTCTCTCTTGATCTCAAAGTTGAAAGATTTATTTCTACGTTTTGAGGGATGCTAGGGTCTGTTTCATCTGAAATTTGATTGATCTGTTAGTATTTGTATATGTTGATTTCGGCTACGTGATGGAAGCGCTAGAAGCAGATTAACCTTTGTGGAAAGGATTGCGGGGATCCGTTTTCCGCAAGAGTCCCTTTTTTGACTAAAATAGTGTATTTTGAATTTGGGAGATTGTGTGGTACCAAAACTCTTAGTTGATGGGGATAAATGTGCAAAATTTACTTGATCAGATGGAATATAGATAAAGACCATTGTTATCTTTTGTTATTTTGATATGCTTATGCTAACACCTAAAATGATACTCCAAGTTACATAAATAGTAGGAAAGTGTCTTGAAATTGGAGTAGTGCTAGGTTCGATTTATCCGGCGTCTTATCAGAGGTTTAGCTAGGATGTCTTAAATTTTGAAGTTGGATGTATTTATCTCTGAATAGATATTTGGATGCATTATGTCCAGCTGTGAAGATTCACGTTACTATTTTAGTTAAATTGATAGAAATACGAATTCCTTTCATATCTTTTCTGTTTTATATAATTCATGCAGTTTGAATTGTACAGGATGAAGAAAGCATGGTATTTGTCGTTTCTGAGTTCTGATAACATAAAAGTTTGGTAGCTTGGAAGCTTTTAGATATGGGAAAAGAAATCTAACTAGCTAATTTTGAATCACCTTTTTTTGAAATTGTGTAAGCAATTTAATAATAATAAGAGCCATATGTGTGCTTTTCTGGCTAACTTCTCCTTATAGGATATTGGTTCTGATTTGACCAATTGTGAAGCTTCTAGGTATTTTCAGTAGACCCGTGAATCATAGAGAGATGTCTTCTATGTATGTTTAGTGTTTTAAGTTTGCCCCATGTTATGTACTATGTTATTTGATATATTTATGTAGATCTTCTTTAGTTGTGAACAAATGATTTTTTTTCTTCTGCTATCTATTCCGTCTCATCATTATGAAAGAATAAAGATTTGACTTTGCACTGCATGACGTTCTTCATGAGTTATAGTGGAGATGACTATTATTGCAATCCCTTAGACTAGTCACCTTTTTTGCTTTCAATATGTCTATTCTATGAGGCTAGATATGCTTCATGGAAGATAAAAGTCATGCTAATGATAATGATTTCAATAAGATATCCATTGATGAGTGAGCAAATTAACGATATATACCATTTATCGTTTATGACTTGTTAACTCCGAACATACTAAGAATGCTTAATCAATTGGAAGATCTATGAGGGCATCTTAGATTAACCAAAAATACCAATCAAAGAGGTAAAATCTTAACTCTATAAGGTTTGGTGTTTTGCAACCTATGCACTGTTTGGAAGAAATCTGGGATGTACATAGAACTGATTATCTGGAAAAATTCATCTTTTGTCATGATATTCAACAATCCACCATTGTCCTAATAATTGTCATTTTAGGTCTCATTGGGAGACGGAAATTCTTGATCTTTGAGATTTAGTATTCCCTTCTCTTGATTGTTGATGTGTTAAGATTATTCCAATCAGTGGGTTGGCTAGTATAGTCATACAAAATATGCAATTCCTCCTACTCTTGACTGAATTTTGCTTAGTCTCTGTCCTTCTAACCTTCGAGAATTCCGGGCCATAGCTTCTTTGTTTATGAGCTCAAGCCTGTGTCCAATAAAGTTAAGTCTCCTATCCACTAACCAAGGTTTTAAATGTCGGATGTTGGGTTCATGTCGGATGACTGAAATCCATGTCGGATAGTGGAAATCAGGGATATATCGAGGGACATGGACTAAATATCAGATTGCCATATCGGGTGGTGCACATATGTATAATATCATGTCTTAAATGTAATCTAAGCATTCCTAAATTCAATATAAGCATACTTTATAAATTCTAGAGGCGGTGCTGGCGACGGGACGTCGCAGGGAGGTAATGCCGGCAACGGGACGTCGTAGGGAGGCAGTGCCGGGTCTCTTCTTCTTCGTCTGCTCATGGTCCTTCGGATGAGTCACCGATCACCCTCTCCCCTTTATTCTGACGACGAGATACCTTGCCGTCTTCGGGTTCGATTGGGGTTCAGATTTCGGGGCGCAATGGGAGATAACGATGGGGGGCCGAGATGGACGTAGGGGAAAGACGTTGTTGTTCACGAAAGGAGTGATGGGTTTTCAAGTTCGCTGCAGCCCGAATTTTTCTCTTTTCTTTCTATCGGGTTCATAAGAAACCCTTAAATATAAGAACGAGTCAAATGGGTTTGAGTTTTTATCACTAAACTCAAACCCGATAACAAAAAACAGATTTAAAAAAAGGGCAATATCGGCCGATTTTTCAAAGCTGAAAAATCGGCCTATATGCTCGATATGGCCCCGATATTTTCGATTTGGCCTTGAAAACCGACATATTAGTTGAAAACGCCCATGTTGTGTCGTTCCAGCCCTCAAACCGACATGTCGGCCGACATTTAAAACCTTGCCACTAACTGACTTTAGAGGTTCTATGCTAAAGTGTCTTAGAGGTTCTATGCTAAAGTCGTACACTGTTCATAGGTCCATTTAGGGATTTGACTGCAACTTAGGTTAGCCTAGTTAACAACTGTTTTTAAATATGTTTGATCTTTCTGTGGAGCCTTCTCTATTTTGGGTGGTTGTACTCTGCATTGACAGGAAAAGATTTATGTCATGGTGATTATGTAACTTTCATGCGAGTCATCATGGTGATTATGTAACTTTCATGCGAGTCATACATTTTTGCTCATTATTTGCAATAAATTCTTATAGTGAGGTAACTCATCATTTGTTCCACGATTTTGCTAAAGAATTTTTAAATCAGTACATGTTGTTTTAAGCCTTTGGAGCAAGTATGATTGCAGACTGAGAATCTAGTTGAAGAGAAAATAATTTCTATTTGAAGTAATAATTTTAGATTGTCTATCGTGTGCTCTTTTTGTGTCTATGTAGAGATGATTGCTTTTTCCTTGCATGCTTCCCATATTTATATAAACCCCCCCCCCCCCCCCACCCCGCCGCCCCTTTCTTTTTTTTAAACTGAGCCCCACAACGATTTTTGGAGACACTTGAAATCATAAGATACTTAGTGGGATGAAAAGTAGTTCTTTCTCCTTTTTGTTGACCGGAACGGTTTTAAGGCCGGAGGAGCATAAAGTGACTGATTGACAAGGAAACTACCCAGCTCCAGCATAATTCTAACCGTAGAATCATAGATATTTCTATAATTCCTTGATCACAGACGGGTTGTCCCGCAAGTATTTAGATCTGTTTCTGCACCGGAAGTACCCTTAGTTCATTTTACCTTATCCAACCTCCAATTAGTGTAGACTTTTCTCAGTTCTGCTCTCTCATAATGTTCCTAGAATATTATAACTAGAGGAACTTTATTGATAACGCATTCAATGAAATAACCATTTCAGCAAGCACGTTGTTGATATGCTTTAATTTGATCTTCAAGGGACAACAGGCTTGTAGATATGAACGTGATAGGTGCAGCTGGAGAATGAAGAAATCTTATATCAATTTCTAGTTGTCACTGAATTGTTTCTTTGCTTTTATACCAATTTTTATCTGCTCTAGAGTTTAGCTTCGAGATAAAGAAATTGATTTGTGTTTCTAATTGAGGAGAGTGGCCCTTCAGTAACGAAATCTTATGGACAGCTTGGCTTGAGGGAAATTTGTAGCAAGAATAAATTGAAAGGCTTGTTTATAGTTGCATAGAACCCACTTCGTTCTGGTTCATGAGACGGGTACGGGAGCATGGTACGCCACTCATTAAAAATCGGGTATGAGGGGGTTGGCTTATACGGTATGTAGCATGCTTTTTGTTCGGTTCTTAAATGTAGAAATTAGAGGTCTTGGTATCAATAATGGTAAAAGAACCTTGAGAATCATGTTGCAATAAGGTATGCATACTTTATTTGCTTAATTTCACGCATTTTTTGGTTTTTATTCTTTTAAAAGAGAGTTTCTGAGTTTTAATGGTTTGAATTCTAAAGGGGTGGCTAGTGTTGGTGAATGGGGTCGTGACCCACGCGAATCTAGGACGATTAAACCTGGGTTGTGGTTTGCTATAACGTCCTACGTTCCCAAATTCTATGGTCTGATTTTATGGTTGAACTATTTGGTTGTTCATTGGCTCTGGTGGTCACTTCATATAATTACTGCACTTTGCATTGGTGTTATCGATGCATGATGCGTAGTGAAGGGCACAAAGTCCCTTTATGCGCCCATGCAGAGGAAGTGAAGCGCACACCACACATAGTTTTTCAAGATAGATGATCAAGCATGAAAGAACATGTTAATGAATTTTCACATAAAACTATGTCAAGAGAAATAATATCTACTATAAGATAACAACATAAGATCTTAATTCATAATGCTAACACACCCAACATTGTAGTAAAGTTCATAATTTTCCAAATTAAAAAGTCAAATCAAGACTAATATCGAAGCAAAATTCTTTAATTGTTGCTAATTTTTGAATGATATCATTATTCTGATTCATCTCTTGGTAAGCTCATTTGATCTGCTGAAATATCTCTGGATATTTTTAGCAGAAAAGTTGCATATTCTTAACTCCTTTATTTGATCAAAAGAATGATAGCTGAACTATCTTAAAGGATCAAAACGAACCAATATTATGTTGTGCATGATGTCACAAACCAGTACTGTAGTAGACCAGTATTAGCGGGATGCGTGTATAAATTTCCCTATATGTATATTCTAATAGCAACCAAATTCCTTTTTGTTGTTTATTCTTGTAGCTTGATGTCGTTGTACTTCAATATCGAAACCAAAAGCTTGTACAACAACTGGAGACTCAGAAGGTTGAATATTCTGCCCTGGAGAGCAAACTTCATCAGCTGGAAGAGAAACAGACAACTTATGAAGACACATTGGGAGTGATTAGCAATTCCTGGGACTGTGTGAGTGGTTTATTCTATTTCTTCATTTTTATGCTGTGTAATTCTCGATGTTGTCTTGAAACGAAGTCTGTATTGCTTTAACAGCTAGTGACTGACTTGGAGTCTCGTTGTGTTTGCACATGGGGATCTGAAAATGGCGGACATGGCATAAAAGATTCTCGTATGCTTGAGGATGCAGCTGGTAACTTGCATTATGCTAGTTACGTTGCTTTTATCAAGTCTCATTGTGCTAAGATTCTAAAGCTTAAAATTGCAGTTATATGTAAAATGGTTTTATTTTCCTTTAAAGTGCTTGCTGATTATTAGTATTTTAGTGAAAAAATCAAATTGGTGGCACTGGCAGCTAGGGCATGAGGCCCCATGTCCCTAATTGGCTGAAATTTCCAATATCTAAAAATATTTTAACAGTAAACAGGAGACAAATTCCAAAAAAGAATGACAAGTTGAGGCTTAAACGACATAAGAAAATTACACAACTGCTGCTATTTTGTAATTTACTATTTTCTTGTTTCATTGGTGGAAGCATTTATACAACATTAGAATCTCGTTATTACTTGACTAAACTTAGATGCATAGCCTGTATGGCTTGATAGTGAAGTGAGCAAAATCCTATAATTTACTGTACTTGTTGCATGTTAAATGAGGAACACTATTAGGCTGCTGACCTGTCTAGTGATTGTAAGCTATTTTTTTTAGCTGTCCGTGAATAAATGGGTGATGTTGCTGTTGTATCCTTTAACATTCTTCTTCATCCTGAAGAGAAGGTTGAATCCAAGTCCAAGTTCATATTAGAGCATGCTCCAAACTTAGATATATCCAATTAAGTTGTGTAGTCATTTATTTATTTTTCAAATTCTTAACATTTGAAGTTATTTCTTGCCTGTAATTGTTCAATATCTTGCTTTACAATAGACACAAATATAGTTTGTCTTGAGAATGTTTTTACCTTTTAAGAAAGAAAAGGAAAGCTGGAAGACCTAACATCTGCCTACTGATTCCGCTGTTATACCTTAAGGAACGGGGAACTTTTCTATTTGAGTTCCTTCAAACAAAAGAACATGAAGTTTTTCATTGCTGGAAGAAACCAATGACTGCATTGCATCCTAGAGGGCTTTTGATGGCTTTCAAAGTATAACTTCTTCAGAAGCATTGGTGTTGAGCTACATTCTTTAGGATTTATTCAGGGAGCAGAAGCTTGAAGACCATGGTTGAAAAGAGCCCAAAATATGCTTTTTCCTCTCAAAAATAGAAGCCCGTTGATCTTATTTCCCTTATTTTCTCTCCTTTCTTCTTTTAATGTTCTGCATATAGATATTTTCTTTCCTTTTTGTCTATTTATATGTATGCTTGCTCCTTTCTCTCGAGTCATTTCTTTAACACTTTCTTGAAAATATTCATCACATTGAAACAATCTACCCAAATTCAAATATACATTTTTAGGCAATTCCCCTTCAAAATTGGAGACCTTAAATATGATTAAGTCCTAAGTGACTACTTTTGAATAATTTTGAGGACTGTTTTCAAGCTAAAGGAAATGGGGTACTTACATTAGTGTTCAATAACATGCTCTGCCTGACCAAGTATGTGCCCGAGTATTCCTACTCAACACCAAAATGTGTTGGGTAGCTGAAACCCGCTTGATTATATGGTCAAACTGCATAATCAAATGGTTAAAGAGTATCCAGCCGCATAATGAAATTATGTAAGCACAAAATATACCCGATCCGAGCCACACTTAATTACCCTAAAAGTCTCCTGATTGCTGCCTCAAAACATTTCCAAAAAAATATGCTACTTCAAAACCTTAAACCTAGTCAACCCTACACAGCCTCCTCTCCATCGCCACAAATTACCTCGATCACTAGATTTCACAGCCGCCTAGTGTCGACGCCCATCATTGCTATCTCTTGTTGTCATTTCAGCCACCGGCCACTATGAGGATGATGAGGAAGATTAGATGAAGAGTTCTATTAGTATTTCAAAATGTTATGACTTAAAAGGTGTTTTAGTTAATGAACAAATGAATTACTCATATATATAAAATATAGCTATAATATAGATTCAGTACTAATGATATATATATATAGTTACATATATATATAATATATATAGTATATATATGATATATATATAATAATATATTATATGAGAAAAAGTGTTCATAAGGTGCGCACCATTGGTCAAATCTAAGGTAGAGCACTTTAAAACTATATTATAATGCTACAAATTACTTGATGGCCGCTTCGTTCATTTTGATTTATAGTGTATTTTGGATTGTATACAAGTAAAAAAATTGGCATATTGGTTGTTACTCATGCATCAAGTGATTTGTGAAATTATAGTGTTTAGCATACTATAACGTAAAGATAAGCAATGAACAAATACTGTGCTGTACGATCATTTTTAATCATCATGATTTGTATTTTTGTTCTTAATAAGATGTTTTGAGACTTTGAGATCACGATGAGTGAGGCGAGAGCGAGAGGGGATAACCTACACCTTCATTGATGCAAGAGGCGCTACATTAGTATGGAATCTAAGGTGTCATCCCGTTATAACACGCAACATTATATATAGTATTATATATACTATATATATATATATATATATATATACTGAGATATATAGTATACTTATACTATATATACTAGTGAGAACCATCTTGTATGACTGCACAAACTTGGTGGTTGGCAATGGGATGGCTCATTCCCATTCACTTAGAGGAGGGGACCACATTTACATGGGTGCACATAGATTGGATGGGGTGGTTGTTTTCAAGTAGGGACCAATTGAATGAGTGGATGAGAATGAGCCACATCACTACCAAGCGTCAAGTTTGTGCTTAGTACTGAGCATGTCCATCTCTCTCATATATATACACACGCACACGCATATATGGAAAAACTAGGTATGAGGTAATAACTCATTTTGCTATATGAGCTACCAAGATAAACATGTGATTAGTACATTAAAAGGTGTGGATCTCACCATTTAATCTCTTGGTATCTCCTTTTGCTACATGAGTCGCCGCCCCATAACCATCGAACCCTATATACGCACATAAAATTTCAAAAACACATAATTCCGCACTAAGCAATAAAGTGCTGCATAGTTTGATTTGTCGTTACCCGAATTTGGATCGTATACATAATGAAACCGTGTTTAAGAATCTTGCTTACATGGTTGGGATGCTATAAGGAATAAGAATAATTTATTGTACAGCTTCATTGTGCCACAATGAGGAATGTTCGGCCATATAATTAAAGTTTGATTGTAGGATTGGTTGGAGGTTATTGCTACTATAATACTATTCTAGATTCACTGTATCACTATATTGGATATGTCCGACCATATAATTGAGGCTTTATTGTAGGATTGATTGAAGGGCATTGCTATGAATAATGCATAAATAGCATAATGTTGTATTAGAGAATAAGAAATGCAAATTTGGAATATTTCTTCTCCTTTATCATTCTAACTCCAGAACTTCTAAACGCTAAACCTCGGGGTAGCAAAGCAGGACCACCGTCTCAAGTGCTATCCCATTCCCTGTTCTTTCCCTGTTTCGTCTCGCTCGTCCTCAAGATTCTGTTATTGCCCTTATCAATCTCTTTCACACATTTTCTTCCACCTTTCCTCTCAAGCGGAAGGCTCACCGGAAATCAGGGGCGGATCCACCCTTGTTCAAGGTGGTTCACTTGAACCACCTCAGGTTTTCAAGAAACCTTATATATTATATATATCAGTAACAATACAAAACATATCTACAGCCTAGTGGTTGAAGTTGGTTAAGAACTTGTGCAAGAGATCTGGAGATCGAATCTCCTAGCCTTCAAAACTTTAATTTTTAACTTAACTTTTCTATTTTATGCTTCTTTTCTTTTTTACTTCCCCTATATTTCTTTTTTTCTTCTTTTTCTTTCTTTTTATCCCTTTGTTCCGTCTACTCCTTTAAGGCTTTCTATAAATTTTTTTTATATATATAAGCCAAATCATTGCTTAAAAAAAGAAAATTTTCCCCTTTTAATAACTCTTTCTTTATTATTTTTTCTCTATTATTTGAAAAAAAATTAGTGTATATTTTGAACCACCACTGAAAACGTCGTAGATCCGCCACTGCCGGAAATGATGATGTAACATCATCCTCATCTGAATTTAAAAGAAACTCTACTATTGCACTTGTTGACACCACTTCCTGTACGGGTGTGTTGTCTGTTCGATCTCCTATTACATGAGTTGCCCCACCTGTTTTCTCTTACATGCAGTCTTTGTCAACTTTATCTTCTCATGCATAGCATTGTAGACTTCTTCCCTGTGCAGCCTTGTTGACTCCTCTTCTAGAGCGCAGTCCCACTCATTTCTCACGCGCAACTCTATCGGCTTTCTCTTATCGTGTGTAGGTTTGTCAACATCCTCTTTTCTCATACTGTCCCTCTCTTTTTGCGAGCATCTCTTTTTGCGAGCATCTCTTTTTGCAAACAGTCTCATGGGCCCCCTCTGGAGCGCTTCTAAGTTAGAAGTCTTTTATCCTGTACTAAAGAATAGCTTATTCTCTTCTCGTGCAGTCACTGAGGGAATATGAATAAGAAAAGATCGAGAGAGAGAGAGGGAGGGAGGGAGGGAGGTGCTTACCAGTGGTGACACACGGTCAGGAGTGAAGGGGTTACAGACGATCGACGGTGAAGAGACTCTTCACTTGAAAAATGTGAGACAAAAACTGAGGCTTGTTCTACGTCTCGTATTTCAAGATTTGTACAAAGCTGTTTCAGAGAGCCCTAAGCCCAAACTAATCTTTAGAACTAATGTTAACAGAAAAAAACCTATATGAATTACAAACCTTGATACATACATACAAACATGTGTTTTATGTGTGTGCTTTTGTTTGTTTGGTTGGTTATATACTTAGTCATGATATATGCATCGCTAGCTTTCTTACGATACATTTTTGAATTAATAGTTAAATAGAAGCATCACACTTACTTTTTTTAAAAAATTTTGGCCTGATACCTTTTTAAATGTTGAGCCAAGTTAACATGGACCGATTGCCTGTTGCAATTGTTGCAACTGTTGCAACTTGGAGTGTAAGCTATGAACTATGACCCCCACTTCTCCAATCTGCACATTAGGGTCGGCCTTTTGGGAACTTTCCTTCATCAGTTCTATTATGGGTACTCTGTTAACTTTCCATCATCACTTCTATTGGGGTCGGCCTTTTGGAATCTTTCCGTCATCACTTCTATTTTAGAACTCTGTATATCACTATTTCTTGAAACATATTATTTGTGTTTGAAGTTCATTTATGGTACTCTGTTAATTTTAGATTTTGGTCCATCCACTACAAAATGACGTGATATAAATACTTATCATATATTATTATTTTTATTGGTATGTTTATTTTGACCAGATGGAGCACCATCCTTTCCAGTCGAAGAAGATTTTATGAGCAGACTTATGGAAACGGGAGCCACTGAAAGTTGCTGCGATGTACTATCCCCTAGGCAATTGGAAGCGGATGTTCGGACATCACAGTTGGCATCAAGAAACATCTTGCAAAATATTATGACGTCCGTAAATCGTTTATGGCATGTAAACAATAAAGCTGTTTCTGCTCTCTGCATGACTCTTTCAGGAGATGGTAAGACCTTTAAATCCATATTATATTTACTTGTTTGTTATTCCTGATGATTAGGCATCAACATTCTATCTTGCTCAAACCGTTTCTTCTGCTTTCATAGAGTCGAACAGACAGTTGCAAAAGGCTGCTAATGACTTACAGATGGAAGTTCAGAGTTCACAAGTGGCAATTCAAGATCTCCATTTGAAGCATAGACCATTGGCAAATAAGGTACAGTACCAGCGAGATATGGATGCCAAAAATAGAGCCGAACACAAACGTTTGGCAGGTACATTTTCCTCAACTATCAAAAGATTACCTTATAAATTTTTGTTATCTGAGGCCCCTACATTATGTAACTTACGGAGGGGTTTATTTACTCAAGTCCTACTGTTCTTTCTATGAAATTGACAGTTCTCTGGTAACTTTGTGAAGGGGAGTTGGCGAGTGCTGTTGCTGAGTTAGGGGAAATCAATTGTAGATTGGCAAGTCTCAAGGCACAAAAAGATGCAGCACCAGGGACGCCTTTTCTTTTTCCTACAATAGGAAATAAACAAGTCGATGTAGATAAGCTTAGAGATAAACAAAAAGAATTTCAAGAGCTGGAGGCAACACTCAAGAATTTGAAGGTATTTACATTGTGATAAGTAGCTGTATAAGATGTATATGCTCTGATTTGAATCCTTGAATAGGATGTAGCTTCAAGCCGGCTTGCAGAAATAAGAAGTCTCCATGAAAGAAGGATAGAAGTTTTGAAGAGTCTAGGTGAATTGCAGGTCTGCTTCCATTATAACTGTTTGTCTTTAAAATTGATTACAAACTTTCCAACAGATGGTTTAGTAGAATATGACATATACATGGTTTTCCAGAATGATGTGAAGAATGTACAAAGTATCACTTCCTCCAAAGCTTTTTTATTACTAAGTGAGCAGCTGGATAAATCAAAAGCAGAGATGGATGAGTGTCGAACGTCATTTGAGAAACTACAGGTGGTAACTGGTCGGTAGATGCATGTAGCTTATGTAGTTACCTCACAAAAGATATTAATCCTCTGGTGTACTAAGGGTCTTCAAATTCATTGTGATAGGTTGAAAAGGATAGTTTCACCTGGCATGAAAAGGAACTTGCCTTGAGAGCTGATCTAGTTGATGTTTGTCGAGGATTCTCTGCATTTTCAGAATCTCATATTTCTGAGCTAGAACAGGAGGTACAGAAATTACTAGAAGAAAGGATTACACTGGAGGGCAACCTTGACCAAGTTTCAAAAGAACCAGGTAGTGAAGATAGTTGATGTTGCTGGTCTAAGATATCTAGAAGACTAGAACTACTACTTTGTTCCTGTATAATTCTTTTAGTTGCCAAAATTATGCATTTCAGGTAGGAAAGAAATCATTGCAGAGTTCAAATCACTTGTTGCATCCCTTCCCAAGGACATGGCAGTCATGCAGCGTGAACTCAATAGATACAAGGAAGCATCTTTAGAGATTCATTGCCTACGAGCTGAAGTCCAGTCCCTTTCTAATATACTAAATAGGAAGGTGAGTTTTCTTATCACCTGGCCCTGGTGCCTAGACACTGCATTGGTCACTGAAGCTATATTAAACACAGGTGAGGCAGTTGGAATCATTGTCTGGCATGTCTGCCCAACAAATTTCTGAGATAAAGAAACTGGAGGCAGTGGTATGATCACTTTCCTTTATACAACTATTATGCGTCTAGTTTACTGGTATAATAAGACACTGAATATTAATTAAAAGTTCTGAGTTCCAGACAGTTCAAATGAATTAAGAAGCCCTCGGTCAATTGTTGAAATTTTCCTACTTGAGAATTGTGGAAATTGCTTTGCGTTTTACACTAAAATGTGATGGTACTCACATTGTTTTAAATATCCCCGACATGGCCCGATATATCCTTTTAACAGGGCTTGCCGCAATCGATATGGTCTCTAAATATCCTTTAGCGCTTTTTGGCTATTTTGGGTGATATATCCCTGATATGGCCAATATATTAGCAGAAATGTGGTCTGATATATCTTTTTATATGGCTTGTCGCAAAACAATATACTGCGTTTGACAATTTTTGGGTGAGATATCATGATTTCCCCATTATATTAGATGACATTTTGCCCTAAAAAATCAGACCAATAGCTGCAACGTTGATTTGTATTTTTTGTCTGTTTTACAAGGTTGATTAGTGATCCTAAACATATATTATTTACATTTTGTATGCTTAGATTTCATTAAGTATGTTGAGATTACATTTTAGTGCATTATATTATATAGGCAAACATCCATTATGGCATTCTGATATTTACCACGTATGATATTCGCAATCAGATATGGATTTTGGTCATCCGATATTTTCACGATATCCGATATTTAAAACCTTGGGTAGTCATGACATTTAAGCATTTAGTTTACTATTTTAGTAAGACAATGGATTGTTAATTAAAAGTTTCGAGTTTCAGACTGTCTAAACAAATGAAGTAATTCTCTGCCTATTGTCTGAAAATTTTCCTACCTGACAATTGTGGACATTGCTTTAAGTTTCAGAAAATGGGTAGTAAAATTTGGATGCACTTAATAGGGCGATTGTACATCTTGGATGAATAGGGTTGTGATGTATATTATTTTGGTTATTATGATTTTAACCTGTTTTCTTATGTAATTATATCCCAGCAATAATTTAGAATTTCATTGGCTCAGTTCATCTTTCCTTTTATATAGTTAAGTATATAGTTAGCAAATTGGGAACTTGCAATTCCTATTAGATCTGATAGATTCAGAAATCAGAACTGGCTTCTTTTCTAATTTTCTCAATTCTTTCTTTGGACTTCATTTTACTGTCTATTAGTGAATAATGCGGTTTCTCAATTTCTTTGCTTGAGTGATTCAGTACTTTGTGCACATATGATGGTCATTGCAAAATAGTGTACGGGCATAAAAACTGTGCTTATGTTATTGCCTTTGAACTGTACTTATGAAGGGATTTATTAATAGTGAAGTGATTATCGTAACATTGAGTAGTTGGTAACAGAATCTATTATCTTTTTGGCTTTTCCTCTAATTATCGATAAGTGGTGGATGTGTTCTCTCTTTGCATTACCTAATTCGGTGCATTGAAATAGAAAGTGGGATGATTTTTCAGTGCATGTCTAGCCTTTTGCTCTATATATCTCAAGGTAGTCACTTGTAACCATGTTGTTGAACTTTTGTTGACTTTTTATTATAGAATAATTTTACGTTTGATGAAGGTGAGAACACATTATTTTTATGTAACTACTTCGAAAACTTTATGAAAAGAATGGTGCACAATATTGATGAGCAAGATCCTTAAGGACATCAGCACAATGCTGTTATTGCCTAGCTTCTCGGCAAATCTATAGCTGCATCGTCTATATGAGGAGCAAGCTAGAACTGAGAATTCTCAGAACAGTCAAAATTCCCATATGCAAGTAAGTTAACTTGTTGCGGCAGGCTAGAATTGTCCATTGGCATCAGTAACTGAAAAGGGCCTGATTTTTATGGTTTTGGTGTTACATTATACTATTCTAGTAGGTTGGCAGTGGTGTTACATTATAGTAGGTCGGCTTCTGCAAGAGCTCTGTATCCTTTTTTCTTCTCCTGGCAAAGCTTCTACTTTGCTACCTCCTTGCATTTAGATGGAGACGTCGGAGTCATTATTTCTAGGTCTAAAAGCTTTTGCCAGTACATGCACATCAGATTCTGGTGACACCTTGTACATATGTCGCTCTTACATTTCTTTAAATGGACTTACTCGTCAGCCCAATTCTCTGAAAGCCTTGTCTATGTTGCCAGTAACCAATGGCCAACCCTGTTATATCCACAATCAATTATAATCAACCCTGCTGTACTATGAAGCACCGACACGTGAAAGAAGGCCCCGAGTCCGTCTCCGACGCGTGTCGGACGCGGACACGCGTTCGACACGCGTCGGACACGTGGTCAACGCCGCCGACACGGTCAACATCGCAGAATCGCTCTCGACACGCTCTCGACACGCTGTTTTGTTCTCGACACGGCTGAGAGGGCAAAAAAAAAAAGAGAATTTGTAAACCCAAAACCCAAAGCAAAAGCCAAACCCTACTTTTCACTTTTCACTTTTCACTCACCCGATCGGCTCATCTCTCTCTCGATCCCGACTGAAAAGAAAACACCGCCGATCGATCGTCCTCGTCGGCCTCGATCGTCATCGTCGTCCTCGTCGTCCTCTCAGCAAATCGTCCTCCCGATCGATCGTCCTCGTCGGCCTCGATCGTCATCGTCGTCCTCGTCGTCCTCTCAGCAAATCGTCCTCGTCGTCATCCACGTCGGCTCGTCCTCTCTCCCTCGATCTCTCATCGCCTTGGCTAGGTCAGTCTCTCTCTCTCTCTCATTCTTCGTCTCTCTCTCCCTCGATCTCTGGATCTCTCTCTCCCAGCCTCTCTCCCTCCCAGGCTCTCTCTGGATCTCTCTCTCAGTCCTCTTCCTCGTCGGCTAGTCCTCGTCGCTGCTAGGGACCTGCTGCTTGCTGCTGATGCTTTTTTTCTCTCTTGATTGAGGAGACGACAGTGTCAAACTTCGGCGAGGTCTGATTTAAGGGCGGAGGGGAGAGCCCTGAAATGAATTTAATAAGGGGGTAACGTGGCAGCTTTAGAGACAGTGAGGAGCTGGTGATGTGACATGCTGACCAATGACAGGGTGAGAGATGGAGAGATCTCTGCCGTTGGATTTCGAGGAGGGTGGCTTGGAGATTATTTGATTATTTTAAAAATCTTTCTCTTTTGGGCTATTTTTTAATTATATTAGTAGGAGTCGGGGTCATCTCGCCGAGATACAGCGGGAGGGTTTTAGAGAGAGGGGGGAAAAAGAGGCAGGGTTTGAAAAGACAGGACCTGAGTCGCCTCAAAAAAGAAAGCTCTTTCTCTATATTAGCCCCTCACATCTTCAATATTTCGATATTAGCCCTTTAAATCTTCAATATTTCTATATTATGCCTTCAAATTATTGAAATTGGTATTAGGTATCTCAAATTATCATAGTTCTTTGGCCTCAAATTATATGTTTGTAATGTTATACTTGTTAGTAGCTTAGTATTTTGTGTTTGAAGATTACACTTGAGTTTATTGTTTGAATTTTATAAATTTATCTATATATAATAATAATACTAAAAAAATCTAGCCGTGTCGCCGTGTCCTATTTTTTTGGGTTTTGTCGTGTCCGTGTCCGTGTCCGTGTCGTGTCCGTGTCGTCGTGTCCGTGTCCGTGCTTCATAGCTGCTGTATATTTGTATCCCTGTTATACTGGTGTTAACCTGACACTTATACTTTATTTATGGGAACCAAATTCAGGCTAAGAGATCTATGACTAAGAGAGGCCACGTGGTTCAATATTGACTGTCACTCATCTCATATGTAGAATTACCTTTTTTGTGATCGTAGGTTATGCATATGCAACGAGGCATAAATCATATTTCCTTAGACTAGCATGGAGTCTGACGTGTTATTAAAACTTGCTATCAGTGTCCTTTCTAAGTTGAGTGCATTGTGTGCAAGATTGCACCCACTGTTCATTATGCATACCATTATTTCTCTTATGAATTAAGGAAATTGTCAATCATAAATATCCAAATATCCCTATCTTGATGTTCGTAAGTTCTTTTGATGAGAGGCATTAGTATGATTATGTGGTATCAGAGCATTTTGGTGTTACGGATATATGATCTGCAGATTCTAGATTTACATTCAAGAGATAAAAACATTGAAAGTGTATGCAAAAAGTAATAGCTGTCCACTTCTTTTATCTTCCCTTTAAGACTGACCACTCCACCAAAATTTGGAGCCCCCTCAACCTAGCATGTGGTTGTTAAATATTGAACATAAATGCACTATATTGATGTGCTTGCAGTTTTTTTTTCCATTTATTCTACTTTTTAATCTCTTTCATGCTCCTTTTGACATTTTTATCATTCTGCCTCTGGCTCTTATAATGTTGATTGCTGGTATTTATTGCTGTACTGAGCCCCTGATACCCTTTTATGTGGGAACTTGCATCCTATTAGTTCTTCGGGTAACTAGTCAAATTACTTTTTTTTCTTTAGAAAACTTGGTGAAGTAGGTTCTTCTCCTACTTTTGGTGTCTAATTATGAATGTTGTAATGCTACCTGTCGCTCTTTATTTATATGCCTAAAGTGATGCTTTTACTAAATTTCATCTCGTTCATTTATGTCATAGTGTTAAATATTCTTTCGTTATTTGACTATGCATCGGATATTTTCTGAGCCAAATGTTGTGATTAGGTTCAAGATCTAAGAGAGAGTGATCACGAGTTGAAGCTAATTCTAGATATGTATAGGCGTGAATCCATTGATTCCAGGTAAGCAAGTTAACACCTTTTTTTCTTCTCTTTTTTAAGTCAGAAGTATTGTGCAGAAAGGGGAAATGTTGTCTTTATACTGAATATTTCCCCTTTTGTTTAATCAAAATCAACTTTTTTTGAGGAAATAACAGAATCAAGTGTCAATTCCACCATTGCAGTGTAGAGTGCTAACATCTGACAAGCAGTGGTATTGACTTTTGTGCTTGGTTTCTACTAATTCCAGTTATCTGTGCCCTATTTCATATTTGCTGCATTTGCTAAGAATCGCTCAATTCTTGAATTTGGAGCGACAATTGAAATCCTTTGCTGATAAATTAATATATGTGTTGCTTGCTCGCACTGTCTCACATGCACACATACCATTCATGGATGCCTCACTTTTGTCTCTGAAGGAATATAAGCGTGTACAAACTTTGTCCATAAGTCCTGGAGAGATGGTTCTCTAATCGACCTATGGATATAAGCAATTCAAACTTATTCAGAATTTCAGATAAACAACTCGCGCATTTGCAAGAGGACTTTGGGTTGTTGAAATTTGCTTGAGAATGAGCCATTCCTCTTTGCATTCTATGAACAATGTATTGCTAACTAATACATCCAAATTGGTCCAATCCTGAGCAAAACTAGTTCTTTCTGTAAGTGTTTCCATATTGTATCATCTTATAAACGTGATCAGTATGTATAAATAAAGATAAGGAGATATGGATGGCATCAATGGCCCTATTGCAATGCTGCAGAGCAACTTATACTTGTAGGTAGTGGCTTAGAGTTTTGTGCTTGATCTGCATCCTCTTAATTAGTTTATGTTTTCTATGTGCTCGAGCAATGTTCTTGAATCTCAAAAGTGTTAAGTTTGTTTCCAAAGTGGCAGCGGGATTTGTATAGTTGAACACCTCCTATCAACAAACCCACACCTCCTATCCTGTGCATGTGTAGCTTCTCTATGTATGTGTGTGGGGTCCAGTTGGGAGCATAGTGGTTCTTATTAATCTATGGAGTGTTAAAAATGGTATGTTTGTGAGTAGTGATGAAAAGTTGGTTGAAAATGTGTTGAGGCTTTCCTTTTAGATTGGGAGAAGTATGTATGAATGAAGAGGATTTTAAGGTGCTGATATGAGTAAGTGCTTTTCTTCAACGAACTTGGAATGAGGATGATTCACATTCAAAAGAAAATTTCTCTCACATACTTCCGAATATTCATGTGTTGCCATATTGCTGATCTCATTGTGTTAATTAGAAAAAAGAAGTCGAAAAATGTCGTCTTTCTGTTATTTGTATAGTGCGTGCTTCTATTAGCTGTTATGGCCTAAATTAGTATATCTTAAGACTGAAGCTGAGCACTACTTAGAAGTGTTTGCTCCAACCTGTTCATGCTGCAGGGAGGTCATGGAGGGTAAGGAGATGGAATACAAGGCATGGGCTCATGTTCACAGCCTCAAATCATCCCTTGATGAGCACAACTTGGAGTTGCGTGTTAAGGAAGCCAATGAAGCGGAAGCAGTATCTCAGCAACGGTTAGCCACCACTGAAGCTGAGATTGCTGATTTGAGGCAGAATTTGGAATCATCTGGAAGGTATAGATACTATCATTTCTTGTATTTTTAAAAATAATTGAGGGTATTGATAGCATACTAACCGCATCTAACCAAATACTTATGTAGATCTTTCATTAATCAGATAAAGAATTTTTTTTCCTTGTTGTACAACATGGTGTGGGTTTCCTGTTAGTGGGTAACTGTTTGAAGTTTTTGCTACTGGAATCAGGCATCTGCATTTTGTTATTTGCTTTCTTCTTTTACACTTATATGCATCCATATAGAGTGCTAACGAGTTGGTTTTAGGGAGGCCTTTCGTTTAAGAAACTTAAAATATATAGGGACTGACCATTGGGTGGTTTGAACTCAGGGATATACATATTTCATCAGAGACATTGAAATCCAAGCATGAAGAAGGCGAAGCATATTTATCTGAGATTGAGGTTTGATGCCCTCGTGTATTAGCTGCAACACATGTTACCATTCCAATTGATAGAAGATTAACATGTGAGTAATGGTCTAACTTCAATTATCTGCAGAGTATAGGCCAAGCATATGAAGATATGCAAACCCAAAATCAGCACTTGTTGCAACAAATCACAGAGAGAGATGATTACAATATCAAGGTAACTCTGTCAATTTTATATCTTTTACGACCTTAGGTCATGCATAAACAAATAATCTTTCTAATTTAAAGCTTTCCTTAAGTCATGCATAATTAATTAATCTTTCTAATTTAAAGCTTTCCTTTCCATTGATGAGGTTTTTATTAAAATCTTACTGAAAAGCGTGCAAGGCTGCATTATTTTGTATAATATTTCACTGTGTAAATATTTCATGTCCAAACACATTCATTGGCATGGTTCAGTCATAATAAACTTATGAGAGGAAACCTTCAGCAACTATGCAGTGTTAAATCTTGTCCTTTTATCACATGAATACATTTTTTAAGCGAGCAAGGCATTGTTTTTGCCATGGGCAATTGAACACTTACATACAGATTTGTATGTTTTCTCATATCAAGGGACGAAGTTGATTAGTGGAGTTGGAAGCCAATCAATGTGGATGGGTGAAATGAAAGCGAGCCATTGTGGTGTAATGAAAAACACTCAAGAAACATTCATTGACAAATGAGGTGAAGCCGAAGTGCTATCATACTTTCATATTGGTTGAAGGAAAACCCATACAACCACATAGACAAGAGATTAGGATTGGAGCAGTAATAGGACCTTGTATGGTTTGGAGCAGGATGGACTAATGAAGGTTAATACTTTAATATATCCAACTTTGACCAGTTAATATAAGGCAGCATCTAGTATGGAGATATCAGATTGGAACCAATATCTTGCTTTTCATTCTTGTGTTTGTCAGAAACTCAACATTATGATAATGCCTTGACATCTCTTATTATTTTGTGGGAATGTTTCAACGGTAAATGGGTATCTGACAATCCCCTCTAGTGCTTTTGCCATCGCCACATTATTAGCACTTCCTTATGCGGCCGCCTTTTCCATATAATAAACATGCCTCCCAGCACTATCATACGATGCAAATCTCGCACTACTGGTTATCATACACGCCCACGCTGACGTTAGGATCAGTAGTGTACACCATCATCGGACTATTATATGCCACCGCAGTTGGCACTACCCTTTGCATGGCAGTGTAATTCGCTGGAAGAACTCCTTGATTCATTGGAACCAAATAAAATTTCCCATCCTCCATATAATGATGCTAATCTAGGAGTTTTCCAATATGCTTGAGGTGGTTCTAGTTCTGAAACATGTGACTCCTCTTGCACAGGAGTGTAAACCCTAGGTAGGGTTTCATCTTGCTAATGCTACTGTTTCTCACCTATCTGAACCCTCTATAGCTCCACTGTAAAATCTTTCACCTCTTTCTCTGGTGGCCTATCCAGACCGAACAAATAGTCCGGCACCTCCCTCGGTGTTGTCGCCGGTGACAGATACTGACTTTTCTTCCCAATCGGTCCCCAAAAAAAAGTCCCAATCAATCCAGCAAAAAAAAGAAAAAACTCAACTTCAGGATCCACTTCAATCCAATCCTTTGAAGTCGATCGTACTCCATTGTATGTTTTAAGTCGTCATCATTAGTAATCGAGATTAAATGATCAAGATCATCACAAGGAAACTTAGACTTTAAGATGAATTTATCATAGCCGGAGGTTGCCGAGAACTTTCCAACCTTCGTTGGAAATCAGATTGATTGGTGGACTGTGAGGATTTTTGTATTGCAGTCTAGGAGAGGTGGTTGCCATTGCTTGGGGGTTGGATTTAGCCGCCAAAGCTGTACATGAGTTCGACTCGAGCGACGAAGGATGACACTGGTGGGAGTCCTAGCCGAAGACGGTGATGGAGGGGTCAGAGAGAGGGGAGGAGATGTTGGGAGTTCGGGTGAGATGTTCTAAATGAAAATTGGGGTTTAAAGTTTTTCCTGATTGGTCTTGGTGGATGGGATAGAGATGGTAAGAGTGGGGACGTGGTGACTGATACAAAAAAGATGTGGAGTCCAATGTATAACTGCTTCTTCTCATGATAGCCATCAAAATTGACGTGCTGTGAATTTAGTGATGACTGGGATTGCGAGGTGACACATGGGCTGTAATTGGCCTAGGACTTTTGCCAGGTGGGTTAGGAGCAAGTGGGCCCACAAAGCAAGATTTTGTTAACAATGCAGTTGTTTTTTCTCTTTTATTTTTATTTTGTCATAATATATTTTAAAATTTTAAGTTTAGCAAAACATAATCAAGTGGAATTTGTAGCTTAATATTATGTTAGTTACTTTAGAAGCTAACATTAGAATGTTCAGATGTTCAAAATTTTGAAAATTAAACAAAATTGTAGGTAAAGAATGGAATTATTTACATTTGCAACATTCATTTTCAATCTGATAATTGCATTGAAATTTATTAGTTTGTATTAATTTAGTTTTCTATTGCATCAATTCGTTATTTGATGTACATTTTACATTCAAATATGTCTGTTGAAAGCCTGGCCCACCATAATAACTAAAGCCTTAGTTTTCAAATATGAGGAAATTGATTGATTTGGTCCATATGTGCTGTAGCTTTCCTCCTAATAATTCCAAAATAGGGAATTTTCTGAGGAATACAAAGGAGGTTATCGTGTTAGGTTAAATTGGGCCTGAAGAGCAATAGGACAGATGATGACGATTGCTTATGAATGCGCACGTGGATGCCATGTGGTTGCCAGTAGGTCAGTGGGTGGTAGATGGGAGGGCAAACGAAGAAAAAAGAGGGCCTTTTTGCTTATCTGTAATGA